GTCAACAGCAAGTCGGTTTATCACTTTTAAAATGTCTGCCTTCGCTGTCAACATGAAGTAGGATTATCACCTTCAAAATCTCTGCTCCCACGGTCAACATGAAGTTGGATCACATTTAAAAGCTCTGCCTTAACTGTCAAAATAAAATAAATTTGCCATATTTAAATATATTTTGAGATACTGGTAGTGGTTTTAGCAAAAGGAGAAAGGGTATGTTTCGACATTTGTATTTTTGCTAAAGAAATGAGAAAAAATTGACACCAAATGTATTCAATTTTGCAGAAGAGATTAAATACTTGCTGAATGTACACATGAATTGTTAAATAAAATAATTATAGAATTATAAACCTATAAACCAAACCATACATACATACATAGGATTCCAAATTGTATAAAAAATTATGAAATTCTCAAGAGGTTTTGTTTGAAATGAATCAATTCATATCAACCATAACATGAAGAATTGTTGATATAACCTGTGATGAGGCAAGCTTCCACTTGCTGTATGGGCATCTGTCCTGACATTCTTCTTCTCCTCCACCTCAGAAGGCTCGCCTGTCAGGGCTGTCTGTAGCTCCTCCTCTAATGTTGCCTGGTGGACCTGCAGTGGCAGCCATATATACACTCAACTAATCTTAGACATCAAACATAAATCTAGCTTTAATATAAAATATTATGAACACATTACACAGAAACATTACTGAAAAATTAATACATGGAGATATATACCACTACAATAAACTATATGCACAATAATACATTATAGAGAGAGGGAAAACACTTCAATTGTTATTTCTTTAAACTCATATTTTAAGAGCAAAGAATAGAATAGTTTTGCCCTCAGCCAAACATCTCTTAAACAAGGCAAACTTGCATCAAAAAAGCCTTAACTTAATAAAATTTTGTAGGTAATTTATAAACAATTATAAGAAAAACATGACAGTGAATTTTTAGGCAAAATTTAAAATTCTTTAAGGTCAGAAATTTCTATAAAAAGAGTAGGTACCTTCAATGACACATCTTTTGTCATGCAGCATAAATATTCTACTCCTAAGCTGCTGCTTGTCTTTAAAATTTTGTGTTGTACTAGTCGGAACTAGAATTCTTATTGTTCAGTTAATGCATGCAAATTTTGATGATAATTAGATCACAGAAGCAAGATATGGTTCAATTTTGTTTATGAAATAGGTACCTAGATCATTTCTATTGGAGGCTGGTGATTTGAATAAGTTAAAGACTCAGTTGAAAATTGAGGTTACAAGTACGCCTCTCTGGCAGCTCAAAAGACATTTGTCACAATGAGAACATTTAGAAAAATAATATGATGATACAGACCAATGCCTTGAGAATCTCCTCTTCTTCAACCAACATGTAATACAGCTCCTGGCCTAACATCTTATTGTATTTTCTCTATGACTTATAAGTGTCAAATAGAATGATTGGCTGATTTAACAGATATTTTTCTACAAGAAATTTATTTCCAAGTATGAGTATCTGAAACATGAGATTATTTAATTGTAGGCAGTAAAATATTTATATTTTTAGTTAAAGTTAATGAGAACTGTTAAGACTTGTTCACTGTAGCCCCTATAGACTGTCTGTGGTGATATAGTTGTTACAAAGCTGTAGAGAAACAGGCCAATGTAAAAATTACAGCTGGAAATTAGAAGATGTTCATGGAAGGAAATCTAATAATGCTAATATTATCTAGCCATAGCAGCATTGCCAGAAGCTGCCATTGCAGAAACCATGCAGGGATTAACAAAAAATGCAAAAAAACAAAATTTATGCATAGTATATACGAATTACAAACAGATCCCATGCGCAAATTATCATTTCTCAAATGTTTGGTCCTTTCCAGGGTGCAGAGGGTGCAAGCAGCATCGCCAAGATATGGTTTTTCAGCCAATAGCATTGCCGGCCATTTTCAAGATCCATCGCCAGATAATTTTTAATAAGAAAGTGCTGCAAGCAACTTTGATTGTATATCCTTTACTATCCACGCACCGAAACACTTACACATAACGTAACTGATTTCCAGACAAACTTTATTGCATGACTGCATCCCGATCTTTCCGGCATACCGGAAACCTTACTGTGTTGTTGTGCGCTTGCGGTTTTTCAGATTTCCAGTAATTTCAAAGTTATTTCTCATATGCAATAATTTCAATCCAAATGTGTTGGCAAGATCTTTAGAAGGCATAAATTTTGCTGCCGATGCGTCGCCAAAGATCTTGCAATATTCACAAACTTTCTGCACAGTGGGGTCCTTTCAATTGTTGTTGTCAAACTAAACAAAAAAATTGCTTCAGAAACTGTGTAAATTGATTTGCCTAAAGATGCATCTGCATACCATAGCATACTAAGCATAGCAGCACCTATAATGAAAACCCACAGGATCACCAGTTTGGCAAGATCTTTAGAAGGCATAAATTTTGCTGCCGATGCGTCGCCAAAGATCTTGCAATATTCACAAACTTTCTGCACAGTGGGGTCCTTTCAATTGTTGTCAAACTAAACAAACAAATTGCTTCAGAAACTGTGTAAATTGATTTGCCTAAAAATGCATCTCCATACCATAGCATACTAAGCATAGCAGCACCTATAATGAAATCCCACAGGGTCACCAGGCACCAGCCACAGTTCCATATTGGCATTTTTTACTTGTTTCTGAAATTTCACAGCTCCAATGGTGCCTTGAAGGCTTGATAAACTTTCTATTCATATGGAATCTTGCGGCTCAATCATACACATTTGTTTACAATTAGGTAGAAGGTAATTCATCCATAAAGAATTTAAAAATTCTGAAAATGGTGGGAAAGTTCTAGTCATGGGCGTCACGCGTCAGGGCATGGCATGACGGCACTTAAGAATAGGTACATGTTTTCCTGGTTTCCAGCTACGCTAGCCAGTAGCCACACTGGCCACTGTCACAGTAGAACCTAACTGAAAAATTGGGCAGAGGCGGCTGCCGGCTGGCATGCCTGGCCTGGCAGTGTGGCAACTGTCTTTTTTTTCTGAGTTCTGCCAGCCTAGCCTAGTGTTCTTGATTGTTATTTGTTAGGCAAGCATGTAAATAAAGAAAGCCTAGCATTTGGCAAGCAAAAAACAGGAGCATATGATTTACACTTTACAGTTGTTATAAACTAGGTATAAAGTAGGTTTCTTTGTTTATTTCCCAATTCTAAACACAAGTTGAAACATAGAGAGGCTAAGACTTAAGAGAGCTGCAAAAACGCACAACCAGAGTGCTGCTTTTGCATATACCTTTGTCGTATGCGTACAACAGTAAGCAGTATTGGCCTTTGGCCATATCCCTTAGGTATTGCTCATTCGCTCCTATACAGCAGAGACTGCAGAGTGCAGACAGGCGACAGCTATACTAATAACTATGCAGCCTTGCAGGTACTTCTTTGACCTCTGGATTTGATCATTTGACACCGGGCCACACCGCTTCTGAAGTTCTGCATGGTATCCAGCTTAAAGTCTTTCCTCTTCCTAGCTACAAGCCTACAATCGTAAGAAATTAAGAATAGTGTGGCGTCCCAACTCCCAATGGCATCAGAGCTCAGACCAATGAGAATGACCAACCATCTTTGGCAGTCAGTCAGCAACTAAGTAATTCAGCTGAGCTGCTGAGTCACTGACTTTTACAAAATCAGATTCTCCGATCTCCGAGGGCACTGAAGCTTGAAAACATTCTTTTCGGACTAAGTCATAATAAATAGACAAGAATTCAGGTGGTAGGTAAATAGGTATGTTGTTTTGTCTGCTTCTTGAGGAAGTGGAGTCGTCCTCTATTGGCTCTATACACCTCACGGCTCATAAGGCTCCCTCGTCTGGCAAGCCAATCTGTAATAAATAAGGCTATTAGGCAAAATAATTGTGTCTTATGAGTGTTAAATTTTAAAAATAACTAACAAAAATAAAATAATTAAGTAACAAACAAAAAGTAAATTAGGAAAACTAAACAGAACGTATGAATAGGCTATGTGATTTTTGCTACAAATAAGGCCCACAGAAAAGCAATTATCGAATGCCAAGTCTCCTCAATTGTCAGGGAAAACGATCAATTAGCATCGACTCGAGTACCCCAAGAACAGAGCAGCTAATAACACACGTCCGCCCGACAGCAAAGCCCGTAACCATAGGTAATAATGAGCGTCTGAGAAGTTTTGTTTACAAAATCGCGGGCATCGGATTTTTCTACGCAGCTGCGGATTTTTAAACATACGGTAGAGAGCATGCTGAAAAACTGTAATTTAAAAACAAGTAAAATTAATAATCTACAACGAAACGAAACTTAAACAGAGTAATAATTTAGTTTCCTTGCAGAACATTGAAAATTATAAACTTTCTACGATCGTATTTGATGGAAATTAATTTGATATCGCTTGAAATTTACATCCCAAACGCCTGACTACGTAAATACTTTCAAACCTCATTAACTCAATACCTTATTTCTTAAAAAGTTCATTAGCTGTTGGGAAGCAAGAACAACAAAATTTGAGCATTTATGGTAGTTTAATCACTGTCATTTAACGCTGCTAGGCGACTGGGAGACAGGATAATAATAAAGTGTTTGCATTTAATAAATTGTATAATATGCGAATAACATAAAGTTGCATTGAGACGCGAATTTACATGCATAGAGACATATATACTAAAATTATCCTATAAAAATAATTATATAAATGAATCAACTCAACAGTCGCGTCATTCCCGTGAGAATTGCAAATTCTCCGGTATTAAAATGCCATCACAATGCTATACCTACGTACGTCCGCTCAGAATGTGAGCCTTAAAGGGTTAATTTACACAAGAATTCAAATTATTTGATTTCAATTGAAATTTCCGCATTCCAGCTGCTGGCAACTAAAAAGAATATGGCCCCTGTGGTTAATATCTTAATTTTATTGCTAAATTTTCAAATAAAAATGAATTAGATAAATTAATTGCTTGATTAAAATTTATTGAGTTTTTGAATGCACGGCAAAATGTCACACGCGCAATGACATATTGTTGGAACAATGGAAAAATTTGGCCTTCCTGTGGGTCTTGCAGTCCCACAAGGGCCCACAGTCCCACTGAGGGCCCACAGTCCCACTGAGGACCACAGTCCCACAGGGGCCCACAGTCCCACAGTCCACCAGGGGCCCACAGTCCCACTGGGGGCCCGCAGTCCCACAGGGGCCCACAGTTCCACAGGTGCCCACAGTCCCACAGGTGCCCACAGTCCCACAGGGGCCCACAGTCCCACAGGAGCCCACAGTCCCACAGGAGCCCACAGTCCCACAGGGGCCCACAGTCCCACAAAGGCCCACAGTCCCACAGGTGCTCACAGTCCCACAGGTGCCCACAGTCCCACAGGAGCCCTTAGTCCCACAGGGTACCACAGTCCCACAGGGGCCCTTAGTCCCACAGGGGCCCTTAGTTCCACAGGGGCCCTTAGTCCCACAGGGGCCCTTAGTCCCACAGGGGCCCTTAGTCCCACAGGGGCCCTTAGTCCCACAAAGGCCCACAGTCCCACTGGGGGCCCACAGTTCCACTGGGGGCCCACAGTCCCACTGTGGACCACAGTCCCACAGGGGCCCACAGTCCCACTGGGGGCCCACAGTCCCACAAAGGCCCACAGTCCCACAGGGTACCACAGTCCCACAGGGGCCCTTAGTCCCACAAAGGCCCACAGTCCCACAGGGGACCACAGTCCCACTGTGGCCCAATGCAAAGCACAGAATTAGACCTACAATACAAACACAGGAATATATATAAACAAATTAATACAGCCATAGATAAAATATTATTACCGTCACATGAGTATATGAACAATAACTATCATTAGCAACAACTATCATTCAATGGGATACGTAGACTCGTAATAGGATGCCATAACAGAAAATATAAAGTAATAACATAACAATATCAGATGGATTAAAATATCATTAGAGAAGACTTTAAAATGCAAAGCAATCAAAACGACTTATAAGAAAATGGTCATTATATGTAAAAAATGCTTAACTTGAAAGTTAAACTGACATTTTAGGATAAGAAATTACTGACGAGGTAAATAACGACGTTGGCATGGCAACGTGTGCTCATTTGAAGTGTACCAGCACCCAAGTGTACCAGCACCCAAGTGTACCAGCACCCAAGTGTACCAGCACCCAAGTGTACCAGTAAGGTTATCTAGGGAACTTGCGACTAGAATTACCCTAGAATTTGAGATCAATCAATTGCAGTACATTAATGAATGCATTCGATTGTAACTGTTACTATGGAGTGTAACTAAGATAATCTAGATACGTGATGGCACAGCACTACTAAAGCAATAGTAAACTAGCAAGGAACACTAACCCTCTTAAATTATCACTAATGCCATAACACGGCCGTTACTAGAGCACTAGTGTTCACTAGCAAGACGGTCCACTAGGTCGCTATACTGACCCCTTAAAAAAAACTTCTAACTACAACAGCAATAAGCTAACCTAGGACAAGATTTTAAGACTATTAAAGCACTAGTAATGCACTAGTAAATATCTAGTTGAGCAATTAGCACTAGTAAAGCACTGGTAAATATCAAGTCTGGAGGCTGAATGTAGCGAGAATGTTGCACTACAGAAAATGTGACTTCATCTGAAGCAATGAACAACTCGTGGCCATTAAACTATTACTATATTCACTAAAACATTGCCAACATTGATTGCCATAATATCAATTTATTCACTAAGACATTGCCTGTGAATACATTGATTGCAATAATATCAATTTATTCACTAAAATATTGCCAACATTAACTGCAATAATAACGATTTATTCACTAAGACATTGCCTGTGGACACAAGAATTTCAAGAATATTGATGTATTCACTAAAACATTGCCATCATTAATTGCAATAATATCGATTTATTCAATACATTGCTAACATAAATAGCAATAATATCGATTTATTCAATACATTGCTAACATAAATAGCAATAATATTATTTATTCAATAAAATATTGGCTAATATTAATAGCAATAATATAGTGAGACCGACGACGCAGTCAAGAAAACTTAATTATGATTTTAAGACTATTAAAGCACTAGTAATGCACTAGTAAATATCTAGTTGAGCAATTAGCACTAGTAAAGCACTGGTAAATATCAAGTCTGGAGGGTGAATGTAGCGAGAATGTTGCAGTACAGAAAATGAGGCTTCATCTGAAGCATTGAACAACTCGTGGCCATTAAAATATTACTATATTCACTAAAACAGTGCCAACGTTAATTGCCATAATATCAATTTATTCACTAATACTGTGTTCTCAGTGACATTGACTATTAATTAAATTTACTAATTCGATAAAAACTATCTAGCTACATCAGTAACATGAATTTGCTAACCGCCAATCATAGTTATCTAACGGCAAATTAGTTCTCTTCTGCAATGATCCATGAAACAGAAAAATCTTGCGAAGTCCGCAGCTTGAATGCGCAGGAGTACACAAGGTGATAAGCCTCTATGGTAATTGGTGAGCAGTGAGCCTCACCATACAGTGAGCCTCACCATTCAGTGAGCCTCACCATTCAGTGAGGCTCACCATTCCGTGAGGCTCACCGTTCAGTGAGGCTCACCGTTCAGCGAAGCTCACCGTTCAGTGAGGCTCACCGTTCAGTGAGGCTCACCGTTCAGTGAGGCTTCAAAGTGGTAGCAGGGTTGTCGCGATTAATCAATCTAACAATAATTGAAATATATGAACACTGCTCCAAATTCCCAACTGCATATTAAATCAATGAATTTGATTTGTAACTGTAACTTTCTTAAGAATAAAGGCACATTTTCAACAGGGAGTGTGCCTGAATTCTAAAATATTTTTTCTTTCTGTTAATCAATGACTAATTATAGCCAAGTAATATGAAACAAGTCGCAAAATTTTCCAAAATTTCTCCTATGGCCTTACGAATAAAGAAGTATTTATCAGCTATCATATCCCACTCTGAAGCACCGACTTGCAATTAGGCAGAGGTAATTAACTTTGCTAGGAGTGAGCACTAAACTCATTAAGCTGTGAGGAAGCATCCACTGCTTTGTGTGCTTTAAAAAATCGTCTAATGAAGTTTCACATTAGGTACATTTGAACTAATATCAAAATTGATAGGAAATGAAGCGCTTATGATTGGGCAACGAGGCGAGTGTAAGCTCGGCGTTGACAAGGACGAAGCACTCGAGGCAAGCCGCTTAAAGCCACGGCTTAAATTGTCTCGAACTTTCTGGTGGCCTGCGACAAAATCACGGCAAGCTTACAGAGACTCAAGCCCCGGCACGCCAATAAGAACTAAGTCCAGGCAAGCCTGCAAGGGCTCAAGTCCCGGCACTTCAACAAGGACTCAAGTCCTTGTTGAAGGACGCCAACAGGGACACAAGTCCCGGTAAGCCGAACAAGGACTAACGATCAACGTTCTCTGGAATAATCTTCTAATATTCGACAAGCTAGCAACAACAATACGAATAATAGGCAAATAATTAAACGCATTGACCGGACTACGTTAAATTAATGTAGTACAAGCAATGTAAGTAAGATGATGAAATTATTGTCGGATAGGGTACGAAATAATTTATCACTGAATCATTGAAACGCAGCGGTACTCTCCTCGTGCATGAAGCGTTGCACGAGTTTTGTGTTTTTATGTGGTTTATAAAGCGCACTTCCAAATAAGATTTCAATTATTCCTTTCAAAAGGAAATTGCTGCTGAGACAATCGCCTAGTCGTATTTATAGAATAGCTAAAGATTTACTATAATTCTGAATGTAAAACCAGTTCACTGAATATGTGGCGTCTTATTTATGTATTACTGGAAATGTGGCGTACTATAGATATAGCGCTAGATTGTCAGCTCGAACAAGAATGAGGGCTCAGAATTTTAATTGTTATTTGCAGCGGAATTCGCCTGGCAGGAGAAAGTTTTTTCTTAAAATATTTACAAATTTGCATCCAAAAATTATCATAGTCGGCTGACTTTAGTTGGTGAGTTTTTGATCTTGCGATTTTTCAGCTGCTCCAATTAAGTCATAAAATTAGGAAACTGAATAAATTCAGACTATAACCAGTAATATAAATTTTCACGGTCCTTCTTAATCAAGATTAGTTGTTAACTAATGATTTGAAATTAATATCATAGTGTCTGTGGGCCTCCCAGTGAAACTTTAACGAACTAGCTGCACACTCTATTCGGAAAATCTCCATAATTTCAATTTTATACTAAAAACTGTAACTTTCCCTAGTTTATTGAAAGCAGTGACGCTACAGACTTGGGTGCACAGAACTTACCATCACTCGAAATGTTCCTCAATAATTGTTGCATTGCAAGAAAATGAAGACTATTTATTGGTTATTTCGATCCGAAAAATTTTCCTTTGCTTATTTGCTTATCTGCCTTAGTCTTCCACTCACCCGTGTTGAAACTGCATCTTGACTTCCCTCGCGTGTTGTCACTGCATCTTGACTTCCCTCGGTTGTCACTGCATCTTGACTTCCCTCACATGTTCTCGCTGCATCTTGACTTCCCTCGCGTGTTGTCACTGCATCTTGACTTCCCTCGCGTGTTGTCACTGCATCTTGACTCCCCTCGCGTGTTGTCACTGCATTTTGACATCCCTCGCGTGTTGTCACTGCATTTTGACATCCCTCGCGTGTTGTCACTGCATCTTGACTCCCCTCGCGTGTTGTCACTGCATCTTGACTCCCCTCGCGTGTTGTCACTGCACCTTGACTCCCCTCGCGTGTTGTCACTGCATCTTGACTCCCCTCGCGTGTTGTCACTGCATCTTGACTTCCCCCGCGTGTTGTCACTGCATCTTGACTTCCCTCACATGTTCTCGCTGCATCTTGACTTCCCTCGCGTGTTGTCACTGCATCTTGACTTCCCTTGCGTGTTGTCACTGCATCTTGACTTCCCTCGCGCGTTGTCACTGCATCTTGACATCNCTCACTGAATGGTGAGCCTCACTGAATGGTGAGCCTCACTGAACGGTGAGCCTCGCTGAACGCTGTACCTCACTGAACGGTGAGCCTCACTGAATGGTGAGCCTCACTGAACGCTGTACCTCACTGAATGGTGAGCCTCACTGAAATGTGAGCCTCATTGTGAGCCTCATGATGGTGAGTTTCACTGAACGGTGAGCCTCGCTGAACGGTGAGCCTCACTGAACGGTGAGCCTCACTGAACGGTGAGCCTCGCTAAACGGCGAGCCTCACTGAACGGTGAGCCTCGCTGAACGGTGAGCCTCACTGAACGGTGAGCCTCACTGAACGGTGAGCCTCACTGAACGGTGAGCCTCACTGAACGGTGAGCCTCACTGAACACCAATAATTCATAAAGTCTTATCAACTTGAGTACTCGTGCACAGGATAATAATTGAGATGACACGAGAAATGATTTTATCAAGCAACCAAGCAGTAATTAAAAAAGAGCATTTCATGCCCTGGGACAGCATGGATTCTGTAAGTTGAAGTACAGTGAAATAATCAGGAATATCACAAAGATGACGACTGAAGGTCTTAACAAAAGAATATACACTCAGACGAATCAGTATTACTTTGCGCTGCATTTATTTGCCTCTGTGTGGGTCATCTAGACCCAGTTTTGAAAGGGCATATACAGTAAGTGATACGTCGGCTCTGTACACTTGCTGTGCGCGAGAAAAAGTCGCTATTTAGACAATTTAACACTTGCATTCTTCTGAGTGTAGCGACTATGAAAATTGCAGTTACAGGAAGACCCAAGTGTAACATTGACTTTTGCCTCCATTAAAACTAAAATTTGTAATTCGCATTTTCAAACTTCGTATTCATTTCCTTGCTTAAACTTCACCTAAGTTCACCTAAATACAATTAGAGTGTTTTAAATCATCAATCAGTGAGTCGCTCATTCAGAGCGAATTCATAAATAATTTATACATTTTACTGATGAATAAAACAACAATCATTTTTCACATATCCATTCAGTTTAGCCACAAGTTTTCTGCTATCGAAATACCGATGATTGGCTGAAATTGTTACTTTAATGTAAAACTTCTATAATGCAATATCCTATCATTATTTCAGTAGTAACTACTGGTTACTAATGAAACTACTGATTTCAGTATTTTCTCTATTTGCTTTGTGGATTAAAGTGTTGTAAGCCAAACTCGAAGCGACTCATAAAGAGCTTTAATCCAAAAGGACGCAATATTCTGAAACAAGATAAGACCTCTATAGAAAATACAAAGAACGAAATAACTAGATATATTCATACCTGAAATGTCACACGTAAAGCGGCAAATTGCTGGATACTCACAGAGAATGTGAATAGTAGTTAGCAAAGCAAGAGTCGTGTCAGTTCTGCCGATAGTCACTACATCTCGAACAAAGTAATTTACAAGCATTCACTACGGTACGGAATACTATGTACATATGAAGACTACCCTAGAAACATCACGACAATAATTCAATACAATGCAATACAATGCAATCCAATACAATATTTTAAAATACTATAAAATTAAGTACAATACAATACAATACAATACAGTTCTTGATTCACGTTGAGCATTCAAGGTTGACCATGCATGCATTTGTAAGTCCTAAGTTGGGCCACAATGTCGATGGACCCATTATGTTGGAGAACAAGCTCTCGCGACAGGATATTAAATGTCATTAGTGGTTTGATGCGACTGAATTTCTAATTGTTGGATGCGAACTTCAATCAATGATCCAATCGAACTTCAACAATGTGAACTACAATCACTAATGCAAATAATCAACAGGAGAACCGAGGCTCTTTCGCTGTGTTCGCGTCAACAATAGAATACCTCATTTATACAGTATCACTGTGGCGAACAACCAAGAGAACAACTGAAGAAAATGCGCTCTTTCAATCCCAGTTAAAATTTTGAGCCGAGACCGGCGCCGGGTTTAGCCGGGCTGGTCGCGCTTTAGCAGGATGGAGCCGTGAAACTATAACCGGCCATCTGTCCTTAAAACTGCGCTGCGCCATGGCTGATATAGAGACAAAATTCTAGCCGATCGGCAGGGACGGAACTCTGCGCTGTTTTAGCGCTGGTACTTGGGATAGCCCGGCAGGGAGCTGAACAGAGCTGCCAAGCAGGCCGTGCATGGGGGGGTTTTGAGAGAGGGAGGAGGGGTAGGGGTTGGAAACAGTGACGGGAGAACGAACTTCATCCTCCATCTAGTTCATTCGCATAGCACGATATTTTGGGCCAATTTCCGGTGCAATTTGTGATATTTATTTCACGTCAGTATTTTAATACTTTGAATTACGTAAGAATTTTATATGCTCTTCCAGTTTTAACACTCTAACAGAAACGTTGAAGGTCATTCACGCTTTGCTAAAGCGAGATATCAATCAGTTTATCATGAGAAAGTTTTCTAACATGGATATACAGAAAACGCGTTAATAACAGTAAATGTTAGAGCAAAGAAAATACCGAGGAAATTCACCATATTTTCAATGAAAATGTGTAAACCAGCACCATCATCAGTTCATAAAATTGATCGACTTTCCCTGCGTTTCGGTTCTAGTCTACGAAACGTTTTCATTGAAGATATGTTGAATTTATTTGGCGCTTTCTTTGCATTAAAACTCTTGGAGAACTTGCGATTTCAGTAGACTAATGATTTGCGTACGTTGTTAATTTTCCTATCAAACTATCGCATGACATGAAGCTAATTCAACAAGATAAATTACTGAACAAATTTAGCTCTAATACTCACATCTAACTGACGGGATCATACGAATGGCTAATTTATTATTTTTTTAAATTAGTGCATTATGAATAATATCTATCAAGTTCAACCACAAATATAGCTATTCCTCGAGTTGCTAGATCAGTGGTTCCCAAAGTGGGCGATATCGCCCCCCTATGGGCGCTGGAAAGATTTTGGGGGGCGATAAGGAAGAAGAGGGTGTTTGGGGGGCGATAGGGGGGCGGCAGTCCGAAGTCAAAGTCAGAAATTCCAAAGTTTGTTTGACGATTTGTACACAACACGTACAGCACATCATGGCTCCCAGCGATGGTTTTTTCACCCAGATCTGTTTATTTAGCCTCTCCTGGGTTTACGTCTCGAACAAACTAACGGCCGGACTCGCGGCCGGTCTCACGGCCAATTTCCAAATTCAATGATCAACGAATTTCTCTCAAAATAATGAACTTTACTCGATGAAAATTGGTACACGTATTCATTAGGGCCTAACGGTTATGTTTAGCTTGCGAATTTTTTCTACATTTTTCTTCATTTGTTTTTGCCATAGTTATATGGCAATACGGGCCGAAATTCACAGTGATTTTTGAACGAAATTTTGAATTTACAGTCCTAACTACGGAACGGTAATGCTTAGCTCTTGAAAATTTATTCGATTGTGCCTTTGTTCGCGAGCTTTTTTTTTTCATTCCATCTTCATTCGTGATTTGAACAGCAAGACGTGCTTAAATTCGCAGGAATCAAGAAAATTCTTCCAAAACTACTGAATAGATTTGAACGAAATTTAGTATTTAAATACCTAAGCTCAGCAACGGTGATGTTTAGCTCACTACAATTTTTCGTTTTGCCTTAGTTTGCGAGTTATACGGCTATACGTATACGGATAATCGTAAATGGCTCTTGGTTAAACCGGCCGGTAGAAAAGCCGGTCGTCCCTCCTATATCTGTATAACTCGCGAACGAAAGCAAAATAGAAAAGTTGTCACGAACTAAACATCACCGTTGGGAGTTAGGTATTTATATACAAAGTTTCGTTGAAATATGTTCAGTAGTTTAGAAGAAATTTCTTGATCGCCGCGAATTTAAGCGAAAAATTATCCGGTGATACGGGCCGAATAATAAGGAAGTGTGAAATCAAGAATGACGGTGAAATGAAATAAAACTCGCAAACGAAGGTAAAATCGAATTTTTTTTATAACTAAAAAATCAACGTTTGGTAGTTAGGAATGTACATTCAAAATTTCGTTCAAATCTGTTCAGTAGTTAGGAAGAAATTCTTTGATCACTGCGAATTTCGGCCTTTATCGCAATATAACTTACGAATGAAGGTGAAATTAAAAAAATTTTACGAGCTAAAAATCACCGTGGCTTTGATGAATACATGTTCAAAGTTTCATTGAGCTGCGTTCATAAGTTTGGGAGATATTACTTGATAATTGAATTTGGAGATTGGTCGTGCGACCGGCCACGAATCGGGCCGTAAATTTGCCTGAGACGTCCTAGGTTTCTAGTGCTGAAACAGTTAAAACAGCTTAAAAACATATTGGTTCACTAAATGGGGTTCTATTTGTGAAATACAGATTTGTGTTTAACCTTTATCTTTTAAAATTGCAGCGTACTAAATTTAAAGAAAAAGGCGTATGTTTTTATATGTGTCTGGGGGGCGCTAGAAATTCACTAGGGAGCCAAAGGGGGCGCCAGCCTGGAA